ATTGTACACTGACTCCCTAGGACCTGGTGAATTATACACTGCTACTTCCGAGGACCCGGTGAATTGTACACTGCAACTCTAGGATCCTGGTGAATTATACACTGCAACTCCCTAGGATCCCTGTGAATTGTACACTGCAACTCCCTAGAACCTGGTGAATTGTACACTGCAACTCCCTAGGATCCCTGTGAATTGTATACTGTGACTCCCTAGGACCTGGTGAATTGTATATAGTAACTCCTTCGGAACGCTGTGAATTGTACACTGCTACTCCCTAGGACCTGGTGAATCGTACACTGACTCCCTAGGACCTGGTGAATTATACACTGCTACTTCCGAGGACCCGGTGAATTGTACACTGCAACTCTAGGATCCTGGTGAATTATACACTGCAACTCCCTAGGATCCCTGTGAATTGTATACTGCCACTCCTTAGGAACGCTGTGAATAGTACACTGCAGCTCCCTAGGAACCTGTAAATTGTGCACTGCAACTCCCTAGGATCATGGTGAATTGTATACTGTGACTTGCTCGAACCCATTGAATTGTAGACTGCGACTTTCTAGAAACCTGGTGAATTGTTCTGTGATTCACTAGAATCCTGGTGAATTTTTTCGCTATAACTCCCTAGACCCTTTTCAATAGTTCCCGGGCATGTTCCATGGTAGCCATGTAACTGAATGCGCTTGTGACAAAAAAGGGCATCTGTTTGCACCAGTTTTGTAAGTTGATTGTATACGTTTGTATTTTGTCCCCGAGAAATATTTTACCAAGGCACATACGGATACCATGGGGATATAAATAATTTTGTTTTTATTCATTTTGTGTGTATGAACGTAAAATTTTACGTATATTTTATGAAATGTTTCTGAATTGTAAAAAAATAACGGTGAATGTTGACAACACAGAATCAATATGTGCTTAAAACTGCATATTTCTGTTGACCGGATGTGAAGTAAATTCAAGTCGATTCGACCTCCTTCGCATACATTCAACCGAAACAGGTCACTGTCATATTTCCACTTACTACACACCATTCCACTAAAGCCTAACTACAATGCTGCAAATATCTCATTATCCATTCAGATTTATTAAATATGTGCCAAGGAATCAAATATTTTATATTTGATATACTGACCAATGTAAATGCTGTGCAATGGGTATTTCATATAATGCAACCTCCAGACTTTCATTCAACCAATCACAATAGCTGACCACAATGGGATATTACTAGCATCGTAGCTAGGCATTTAATTTTATTACCAGGTATTCATCGATAACAACTTCAATAGATACATGCAGGGATTTCGTTAAGAGCAGGCTGCCGGCCATATGGCCTGCTACAAGCCCAAATTGGCCGTCTACTCTCTGCCCCGACCGCCTACGTCGGTCTCACTGCAGCAGTTCACACTGCCGAGAGCCTTTTTATTTATTTTTTGGCCTGTTACAGGATGATGGCCTGCTATTAAATGCATTTGTGAAACTAAATCAGAGACTTAATTAATTAAATCATCATTTATAACTCCTTATATATCTCCTTGATAAATTAAGTTTCAGAATACAGCGTTTTTGAGGGAAAATAATGTTAATAATATTACCTCATTAAATAACTGTGTGGCATCATTTCCAGCTCCACGCATTAATTCTTGTACACCCCCTGGGTGATATTCTAAATACGATGTCACATTAAACACTTTACCTGAAACACAAGATGAAAAATGACTCAGGAAAGTAATTCATTTAATCAGTTGCAAAATAATTAATTGAAATCAAGTGCGAATAAAATAAAATATCGTATTTAGTGAATAGCAAATCCATTAATCCGTGTGATCCTGAAGAAATTGAAGCATAGACATTCATGAATACTCTAAAATTTTCAAATGTCACCAAAATGAAAATTAATCAAAAAATTTACTTTATTTCAATTTTTATTTTTATAACCTTTTTTCAGATTTGACATTTATTGAATGACATTTTTTCAGTTAACGGTTACAATCTTATGAGTTTTTTTAAATAAGTTAATTTTATTTTTAGTTGATTATTCATTTATTGGTAGTTTGCTTAAAAGCGCTAGAGTCATTACGCCACATTTTGTTCAATAATACATTGTTTGTTTCCACAAAATTTGAACATGTGCTGTGTAACAACCACTAACAACAAATTTCTCCCTGCAGTACAATTCAGTATTTGCAAAGACTATACTATTCACAAATTTCAATGGAAAAAAAAAATTTGTTTCCATAGTTACTCATACAACGATCGTTCATTCATCCAAATTGCCAAGAATTGAGAAAAATACAAAATACATGTATAATATTTGTTATGTAAATATGCATCCTAAAACCTTTTAACCAGCAGTCTGTCTGCCTGTCATTTTAAATAGGCACTCCACATTTTATACAGATAATTTCATTTGACATGCAAGTTATTACACAGACACTTTTTTTATTTTCTGGCTATAACACTAATAAGGGGTGCTCTCAAATTGTTGAAGTTCACCAATGTGGAATCAGACACCTTTCTTTGTACTTCTTGTAGGATAACTTTTGATGCACTGAAAATGAAAAGAACACATAGATGAAATATCCCCAACCTGAAAACATTTTGCTTTTCTGAGAACTTCAACAATTCATAAGCACCCCTCAATAGAATAAAAAAAAATGTTTAATCCTCGGGGGCGGAGCTACGTCACGGACGTTCTACGTTGCTAAGACGCGCACCACTGTACCACGTATTTCTATGGGGCTTTGTGCGCGCTGCTGTGGAACGCCGGTGGAGCCGGTGAAAACTCGAGAAAACAACACAAACTCAACTTTGAAGTAATCCCGAACAACCAAATTCATATATGTTACACACGTAGGGCTAATCTTATTACACTGTTCAGAGGAGTCTCAACAACCATCGCAAAGTACCGTTTTCTGCGAGTTTTTGGTCTTTGTTTTCACCACGAGGGTTGCCAGGCGGTAGAAAATGCCCGGATGTCCGCCCCCGAGGATAGATACTATTATTGCTATTTCATTCCATGATTTTGGTAATTCTTTTTGACAACTGACATGGCCACCAGGTGGCCATTTTGAATTGCATAATGCTATATGAAGAGGTACTATCTAACTAAGTAACAATATGGTAGTTTTAAAGATTACTCTATCATAAAAAATGTATTTTTGAAAATTTCCATCATTCTCGGCTCAATATATATAGTATAGGTAGAAGCAATGAATAGCACTTGGAAGATTTTTCACAGATGTGAAGATATAAATGCAATAGAGATAGAACCTTTGAGGAAGAAGTCATTTAAAGGAAAAATTGACACAGGACGCCAGACACTAGGCCACAATGATAGAAAATCACCTATAGTAACAGCTCTGCTGTCATCGAAGAAGGCATCAAATAGCATGTTTCAGGGCATTTTATTGTTTTCTATGGTAAAGAAATATCTCAATATTCTAAAATTTTTGTTCCGTGATGTATGATAAAAGAAATAATATACATGTAAAGTGTCTTACAAGGTATTAAAAAGTATTGAAAATTGACAATAATTTTAGTGTTTTTTTCCCCAAGAAAATGTGTTTTCATTGTGGTCTGTGGAAACTGCTGCTAAAATGGCACTTCATGCATGTATTTTACCATTTTTCTTAAAAAAAAGATCGACAGTGAAATTAAAAACAAATTTACATACTTTTGACTTTCCATAAAATATTCATTTATGAATTTTTCTTCACTTTAACATGAAGCATAAAATGACATGCAAGACTTACATGCTGTGTAGAAACAAGGTCAAACACTTAATGGATTGAAGAAAGCAATACAATCCCAGCAAGAGATAGTTTTAATGCTAATCACAGGAAGCCAAGTGTATTATCACATTACTTACAGCCTTGGAGGTCTTCTCAGTTTCACCTGAAGGGACATTGGTCTTATTTCTTTTTTCCCATAAATCAAAAAATGTAGGCCACACGGAGAAGAGGTAAAACAATCACCTTAATCGCGTTCTGTCCACATAACAAATGTTTTTCCTTTTTTTAATCACAAAGAAAACAATTATTTGAGAATGGGCTACAAGTAAGATATCGCTCGGAGTATATTGCATCGCTTGAAAGGGATTTTAATTTAGTTTCAGTGGCTAATAACAATCCCACAGGAAACTGACTCACAATGTAAAGTTCTCAGAATAGGAAGAGCCCGAAACTCCTAGGATTTTTCAGGTCTCAAGCTTTGTTTGCCAATGATGAAAATGAAAATGAGTATTAATGTTAAAATATATCTATGCCAAATTTTCAAGGATCAAGTTTGAAACATTTTAATTAATTTTACACAGCAGTAATTTTTCAGAGCATTGTCCAGGTTAAAAATATTAGGATAAGCCTTTTTTTTTAATAAAATTAAGATCATCAATTCAGAGAGAAGAAAGGGTATATATGTACATGTAATAAGTGTCTGTAAATGATTTTCATTCTAGTTATAATGTAATAATAGTGTTAAAATGAAAAGAAATGTGTAGAATTAAAATAACATGGTTTAAACATCTATTGAGTCAAGATATTCAATTACCCACACATGTATATCTCAATTAACAAAGCATAAATAGGTATTTATGTCAAATGGAGGTTTATGTCACTTGAACACTATAAAG